AAGAACATCAAGGCCTTGCAGGTCGCCAGAGCCCACCCGCGCCTGGCCACTGCCGCCAAGCGTCTCCTGGTCACTGGCGAAGCCTCAGCCCGGACGACCAGGAGGGTGCAGAGGGCCTTTAGAGGCACCCCGCTAGCGATGGGGAGCAGCGCTTTCTTGCGGAACACCGTATTGAATGGCCTCTTCCTCAGCATGGATGTCAGCAGCCTCCTGAAGGACTGGCAGGAGCTGAAGCAGGAAGCCAGGACCGAGTTGGCGGACTTGCTGAGGGCCAAGGCTGAGGAGCAGGAGAGAGAGCTGGCAGCACTCACCCAGCTCTATGAGGAGCTGCAGGTGAGGCTGGAGGGAGGGGAGAGGGACTGGGGTTCATGGGCACCCAGAGTTAGGGGAGGGTGGAAGGAAGCCAGTGTGTGTGCAGTTCGCATGGCTGCCCCTGCGGACGAGGGCTCCGGAGATGATGGTGCCCAGCTGCACAGGCCTGGCCGTGCCTCTGTTTCTCCCTTGATGTCCCTCCAGGTCCCTGGCCTGGGAAGAGGGGCTTCCCAGTTGTACAGAAGAGGACACTGAGCCACAGGGGGTGTTGGGGATGGAAATGTGCCCCCCTAGTACCCACATGCGGAAGCTCCAGTGAGACTATTTGGAGATGCCGCTTTGGGGAGGGGTTGGGGTTGAATGAGGTCCTGGCGTGGGGCCGGCACCTTGATCTGGGCCTCGCAGCCTCCGGAACTATGAGAAATGACGTGTGGTTTTCTGTCACGGTGGCCCTGGCTGGCTGGGACAGGGAGCTTCGGTAACTGCCCATCTCTCCCCGGTGGAGCGGGTCAGGATGAAGCTGGGAGCGGACTTCAGAGCTGGCCCGGCTCTGCCCGCCTCTGCCCCAGAGCGCTCCTGAGATGGGTGGTTTTGTTTCTTTACAGAAACTCTTGCAGGAAAAAAGCCTTAGGAGCTCATCTTCCAAGGAAGCCAAGGCGACTCTAACTCAGCCCCCAGCCCAGCAAGGGGAAGCAGGACCCCGGGCCGCAGGTGAGGCGGAGGCAGGCTAACAGCGGCTCTGAGGCAGGGTGGGGCGGGCTGGGGTGGCAGAGACAATGCCTGGGACTTGCTGGTGGAATTCCTCCCTGTGCTCCGTGGGTCCCGGGCACTGTCAGCTGGCGAGTGCTGTGAAGGTGGAGCTGTCCTCTCTCCTCCATTGCCACCCCGTGTCTTCACTGTCCCCGTTCCTTCAG